TTCTGAAGTAGATCTTGGAAACTGCTTTATCAACAAATGGGTTCATCTTGTGGTCTTTTACAGGGTCAGTGGTCAACTCAGACTGAATTTCAATTGCTAACTAGTAACTAAAAGCAATTCATTTTACTAATTCCACATATCAAATGTTCACAGATCCAAGGTTTCCTCCAATAATACCTACATATATGGATTTCATACTAATGCAAATAGAACTCATGAATGAAGCAGTAATGCATTTATGGATTATGCTCACATATTCTGAATTCCCTCATAAGTCCTGCAAGGTGTTTATTATGAACTACCTCTAGGTTTTACACATGTAAAGACTGAGACATGTGCTTAGGCCTCCTTATTGGGATGCTATCTATTCTATACTTACTATGTCTATAACCTTGGATAATTTCCTTATCTTCTCAGGGCTCTAATTTCTTCATTAGTAAAATGGGGGTAATTACTATATATCACAGTTATTTGGAGGATTAAAGGGGTTCAGGTAGGGAATGATCATGAAATAATCCCTAGCAAATGATATAAATAAAATTAGTGTTGGTTCCATTCTTCCATTTGTATTCTTCCTTCTTCAATGTGGAGGTGTGCCATATGCTGAAAACAAGCATAACTAGTCCTCATTTTTTCCATAATACTGGGCAGAGAATCTATGGAAGTCAAGGCTCTGCACATTCCCACCACCCAGCAAATATTCCACTGTTGTTAAGGCCATTCTCTCTGTGGGAGAGAAGGGCAGAATTTCAGCACTGATTTAAGGAAAAGCAGTAAAATGTTCTATGGCTCCTTAACTACTGGGAAATAACACCTCTACCATTCTAATTTAATCAGAAGCTACAGAATATAATGCTCTTTTCTGGTAGTTGGTATTTCCTATCATATGTAGTATTATTTATAAATACTTAGAATTTGGAGTACAAATAACTTGTAAATGTTTTAAAATCCAAATTAAGAATTTTTAAAAATTCAAAATAAGAATTAAGAATTTATGAACATAAATCCTAATAGCTCTTACATTTAACTTATGATGGGTTAATAGCCATTGGGAAAAGTTGACTGTTGTCATATTTTCACATCCAAGTTTTAGAATGTTTTTTGTAGCTGAATTTTCTCTTTTTTTCTTTCTCTGTCCATTTGTATCCATCTGCTGTTTTTTCCCAAACACACATCTGTGCCTGTACACACACACACACACACACACACACACACACACACACACACACCTGTCTTTCTTCCTTTCCATGCGTTCATGTCACTGACTTTTACAGAATCTATGCTTAGGCAGTCTGGACAGCAGCAATCTAAAGACAGATTCCATCAAGCTCCTATCTGTTAGAACCTGCAGTGCTTGCATTTGGATTCGATATCTAACAATAATGTGGTATTTTATAAACATTAGTGAGGATGATTTTGCACTGGTCAGCAAAGGTAAAAAAATAGGTGCTTTGGGAAAACAAATAAAAAAGGAATTGGATCTGTCTCAATAAATTGCACAAATTATAAATATCCCAAAGATGCAGCCGCTTACTCTGGCATAGGAAAATAAAGCTGACAATTACGCTTTAGAATGAATAGGGGAGTAATATGATAGCTAAAATTTTTCCTTACAATCTTTCTTTTATTGAGTGCAGCACTGTATTTGTTTATTAAACAAAGTTTCTGTTTCATCTGGCATTCGATTCTTCAGATACTATTATAATAATGCCAATTAAGATTTGCATTCAAGTCATGATTCTTTTCTATTCTGGTTTGTGTCTGCAGATACACTTGTTCCATTAATTTAAACATAATTATAGAATAATCTTTCACAAATATTATAGCTAATAACATTAGGGCATTTATAAATTCTGGTCCTTCATTTATACACATTAAAATTTCATTTTAAATTAAAGAACTTTTAATATTTGAACATATTTTAAGAACATCCTCTAGGGTTTCTAACATAGTGTGCACCAAAGCCCTAGAACTGGCCATGTTTGGTTGGGATTACACGACCTGGATAAAGTCAGAAGAAACTTGAAAGGAATTATTTCTGACTTTAGCAAGGCAAAACTCAGTTTGATTATGCACTACACATTCTTCTTTGGTTTTAGAGATCGGAACCTGACATTTTACTCAGGCTGGGGTCTGAACAGAGTTTCGTCTAATGGGAAAACTGACAGTCCTTTTAAGTTTTACAGGTACATGCTGTAATACAGAAACTCTATGTACAGAAATTTTCAGTTACAAAATTGATAATTCAGGACATTGTTTTGACATGGATTAATGGAATTATCGTATCAGAGGACTTTTATTCTCCCCATCGAATAGAGGGTGCTAAAAATCTGCTGCTTAAATCAACACTCAGGGCAAATGTAATCTTCCATTACTTTATTTACAGTTGTATAAGTTCCAACAAATGTGAATGTGCAAAGTAAATTTACTGCTGTATTTGAGGGACTGTCTTTTATTTTTGAATCTTTTCCAACATTTAATCTACATCAATCTTTTTCATTTCTTTATGTCAGCACTTTTTATAAATTCTTATGAAACAAGGTCTCATAAACCAGAGAAAAGATGTGTTGTTCTGTTGTATAACATTGGGTAAGAAAGTTGGTACACTTTACTGTTTGGAACAATGTGGTCTGTTAGATTAAAATGCTATTTCTTTCTTTTTCATGCCTCTAAAGCAGTGTCCTAAAACATTAACACAAAACTTAAGAAACTTTGCACTATGTTGATTATTAATGTTAGTTTTGTTAGATTTTCATTAGATATGTCATTTTTAAGCATTCTGGCATTTATAGAAGTAATTTTATTAAATGTGTGGAATTAGACATCTACCTTCGTAATTAAAGCCAACGGTTAATTAAATTCAACAAACATGTACTTCATCAATGTCTTTTTAGAAATACTTCTATTTCTACAAAGCAAGATCCAACTGTATTTCTCTAAAAATATCCTATAGTAGTTTTGCAACTTAGTCAATGTATTTTAACCTCATATGCTGTGATCTTCTGGTTTACTTAAATGGATACTTCTTCGGATCTTCTGGATTACTTAAATGGATAATTAAGTTTATTTTTCCCATTCATCTTTCTGAGCTATATTTCCATATTCTCAGTTTATTCCCATTCCATATTCCTAGGTTATACTTTCTGTTTGCCCTTAATGATCAGTTATACACCTTCTGCACTTCCACAAATGTCCTAGTTTCAATGGTAGGATCATCTATTTTGGATGTTAGGACCTTATTAAGATGGCTAAGATTTATATATTATAACAGAAATCCTCCCTCTTCCTTCTTCTGATTATTTTCTTATTTTTTTTTCTTTACACCTACACTTCTTGCCTACTTCCAGCTGTGAATAAACACAGACATAGATAAACATTGTTGCTGCACGACCTTTGCCCAGATGTGATGGTAGGTGGATGACACTGCATTGAGCAAATGGAGAAACTGCTGCTCGGATCAGCACTCACTTACGAGGAAAGATCATTTCTCCTTCCTTGCTATTTAGCCAAGCATTTACTGTGGGGATTTCCAAAGACCCAGTATTAGGGTTTCTGTCAGAAAGTTGATGGTCATACACACATATCTAGAAAGCAAATAGTTTTAAGTCAAAGGGCATAACTCATTGCATCCATTCCATACATGTTGTTAATTTAAGATGTGCTTTCTATTTCAAAAGGTCAGGAAATATCAATTTGATAGCTCATTCTTGTTGTACCTAATATTTTCTTTACTTTACATGCAAACATATCCAAAAGCCCAAAAGGGGCAAAGGAAAATCATGTAAATTGTCTGATCTTTGTTCAGTGCAAAAGCTGAATTAGCAGCTCTGCACATCCGGCTTCACAGAGAAATCAAACATCACAGAAAGTTTTGCCTTGCCGAATGGCCTTTCTGGCCTTACTGCTGGACAACGGAAAGACAGAAAGGAGCCATGAAGACGGAGAGCAGAGATCATATGCCCTGATTAAGAGTCCTTATCTTCTGGTTACCAGAATGTGGTGCTGGAGCTGGCCCCTCCTTGTTCAGGAGAGCAAATTGTGAACATCTTTTTCCAATTCTGAATTTAGTGATATTATGTTGGTAATGTGAAATCAGCATGATGGGAATTTTTACACAAAAGATATTGGCAAATTCTATAAATCAAGGATTTTTTTTTCTTGAGGAGCCAATTGTTAACCATTTACCAGAATACCATGGTTTACCTCTTTCATTAATCTAAATTTACTGATTATTTTAATGTGTGATATTTATTATTGATAATTTGAATATAGTGGGAGAAGATACCTATACATTGTTCCGTATTGTTTATGAATATTTTCCTTTGCACAAGTCAGATCATTCCATTCCTATCTTTTTGCATCTCAGTTTTCTCACTTAAAAATATACTTTGGGGGCGCCTGGGTGGCGCAGTCGGTTAAGCGTCCGACTTCAACCAGGTCACGATCTCACGGTCCGTGAGTTCGAGCCCCGCGTCGGGCTCTGGGCTGATGGCTCGGAGCCTGGAGCCTGTTTCCGATTCTGTGTCTCCCTCTCTCTCTGCCCCTCGCCCGTTCATGCTCTGTCTCTCTCTGTCCCAAAAATAAATAAACGTTGAAAAAAAAATTAAAAAAAATATATACTTGGTAAGATCTTCATAAGTTGACACATACATATCTACTTCATTTTGTGTTAACAGCTACATTATAATCCATTGTATTCAAAGTTTATTTCCTAAGTCCCTTTAGATGAAAAAAAAAATGGGTGGTTTCCAGTTTTTAGTTATAAACAATACCACGCTGACTGGTTTTTCCCCACACTCTACCTTTGTATAAGGCATTTTTCTATACCTACAGAAGTGAAATTGCTGTCAAAATGTAAATGCATTTTAAATTTTGATAGATATTGTCAATTTGCACTCCTAAAAATATGAGTATAATTTGGCATCACTTAAAGTATCATTTAAAACAGTAATTCTTTTCTTTTCTTTCTCCTTTCTTTCTTTTTCTTTTTTTTTTTTTTTTTTTTTGAATGGGCAGGCTAGATCAGATTTGAGAATGCACTGTTAGGCATGTACTTTTCATCCTTTCAAGAAGATATTTCTAGAAGGAGAATAAGAATAAAGACAAAAGTATCAGTATTCTTTTAAGTTTCAGTAAATTATGAAATGCTTAACTATGTATCAAGCACTATCAAACACAAGATTCTCAGCCCTCAGTAGGGCTGACGGATGTGTTCTCTGACCTCACGGAGCTTACATTTTAATAGGAGAGCCAAACAAAGGAAGTCAAGTGTATTTGACAATCTATCCACTCCATGTATTTGCTGGGTCAATTCTTCTTGTAATACTCTTGTCTGCTCTTTGAAACCTGTTCTAAACCTGTTGGCTCAGATATGATCCCCTCCTTCACCATCCTGGGGATTCTCTCTTCTTCTTTTATGTACTGCATCTCATTTCCCTTTTTCGTAATGTTTTCCCACATTTTTGATGCAGCACATCCTCCCATAGCTTCTTGAGAAAGGTTCATGGATAGCACATTTTTGACACTTGACTGTGTTAAACGTCATTATTTTCCCTTCATACTTTCCCTTCATGTATTCCAGCTTGGTTAATTCTGGTTGGAAATAAATTTCCCTTTAAATTATATACAATTTGTTCCACTGTTTTCTAGCTGTCATTATTGCTGTTGGGCAATCTGATTGGCGGTGTATGACCTGCATGTTCTCTCTTAAATTTTACTTTTTTCTTTACTTAAGTATTCTGCAATTTCCAAAATGAAATATTTTAGAGTGGCCGCTTCTTCATTTATTGTGCAGAGTGTTTGGTAGATCATTTCAATCTGGAAATATATCTTTGAGTTCTAGGAGATGGAATACCAGGAGTTGGCCAGTGGAGCAGTCTTTTTCAGTGCAGGCCATAGGACACTCTAAAAGGAATTTAAAAATAGTATGAAAACTGACTAAAAGACGCCTTGGTTTGATGGCCACGTACCAGCAATTCTCTTCCAAATCTTCTCAGTTATTAACAATTGTTGATACTGTTAACCTTTTTTTTAATGTTTACTTATTTTTGAGAGAGTGTGTGTGTGAGCGGGGTAGGGGCAGAGAGAGGGGGAGGGACAGAGAAAATTCTAAGTAGGATCCATGCTGTCAGTGCAGAACCCAACAGGGCTTGAACTCAAGAACCCTGAGATCATGACCTGAGCCAAAATGAAGAATCGGACACTTAACCAACTAAGCCATCCAGGTGCCCCGGTACTGTCGAGTTTTAATAATGTATATATAAGCTTCAAATGAGCACATTTGCACTCTTTATCCTATATTAAATATTGTATTCTGCATGGAGGTTAATGTGAAGAACACCTAGGTATAGAATCAGCTCCCTCCCTCCCAATATGTGCAGACAAGCTACACTTACTCATTTTGAAGGTAAGTTTACAAGGGTTCAGAATTATTTGAACTCCTTGGGTGTAGTTTCTGTTTCCAGTCCCTATCACATTACATACTCCTGTCATTCTTTGTGACCACTGGAATTTTTAATTTGGAGTTTAGTTTTAAAAAGTGAAGCAGAGTGCCATCTGTGATATGTAATACTTTTGTAAGTGCCGATTTAAGTTCATATGATTTACCAGACTTAAATAATATCTGGTAAGTTGACATTTATTCTTCTTTTTAAATTGTCATTTACCTTAAAATAAAATGAATCAAGAAAACGGTTACTTATTATTATATGGTTCTTACAAAATACAAATGTACTAATTATAGGAAGGTGGTATTAAAATGATGTGTTTCAGGTATCAGATAAACTAGGTATGCCAATGATTTTGGAAATAGTTTTGTATTGTTTTCTTTGATATCTTCTTCACTTTTCTTTTCTTTTTGGAATTCTTTTTTAGATGTTGGAGTCCCTGGGTTTACCCCCTTATTTTCTTATCATTCTTGTCTTATGTATTATATCTCTTTTTGTCTTCATTCATTTTCAGAGAGATTTATTTAAAAAAAATTTAAATGTTTATTTTTGAGAGAGAGTGAGAGAGCAAGCAGAGGAGGTTAGACGGAGAGGGAGACACAGAATCTGAAGCAGGCTTAGAGGTGTCAGCACAGAACCTGACATGGGGCTTGAACTCAGGAACTACGAGATCATGACCTGAGCTGAAGTCTGATGTTTAATCCACTGAGCCACCCAGGCGCCCCTCAGAGAGATTTCTTAAAGTCTTTATTCCCACCCTTAATTGATTTTTAAAATGTCTACTCTCACAGTTTTAATTTCCAAGAGCTCCTTTTTGTTCTCTAATTTTACTTTCTTTTTTTAAAGATTTTTTTAAAAGTTTATTTATTTTTTTGAGAGGAAGAGAGTGTGTCAGCAGGGGAGGGACAGAGAGAGAGGGAGAGAGAATCCAAACAGGCTCTGTGCTGTCAACCCAGGGCTTGAACCCACAAACCGTGAGATCATGACTTGATTATATATAATATATATAATCCAGTATTATATATAATTCATGTTTATTTTATATGTTTTATATGTTTATTTTATATGTTTGTTTTACTTTATTGATAGCATACTGTTCTCATTTTCTGGAAGTTATGTATATCTAGTATTATATGTAATATATGTTTATACATATATATAATATATGTATTTTTTACCACTCTAGAATCGTAATTATAGAATTTTTTCTTTTAAGTGTTCTTCTGCTCCCTAACTTGCATCTATTTCATTAGTAATCATTTCAATTTGTTTGGCCTTTTTTCTCTGTTCATGTTTGAGGTTTTCCTAAGTTGTGTAGCAATCCTTGTCTCTCCATTCATGTTTAAGATTGAAATACTAAAAAGCTAATGTTAAGGCCAATGTGCATAAGCAGAGCTTATTTATTAGTGGTATCCCAGTAAGAAAGCTGAAGAACAACCTAGCTGTTTTGTCAGTGACCTCAAATTGTCTTATATGTGACCATTTCTCCTTAGTTGGTCAGTTTCCCAAAGAAGAGTCTTTTAATTCTGTGTTAGTAGGTGTGGAGGAATAGAAAAATGAGATGTAATATGAGGTCATCCAACTTTCTGAAAGCTTCAGGTATAAAAGGGGTGGGTGATGTTTTTTCCTGATGTCCCCAGACTCAAGAAACTCTTGTCATTTCAGCTCTCCAGAAAAATCTTGCCTTTTGCTAGGCTATGCAGTCTGGGAAATAGGAGATCTGAAGTCTAACTGTTTAGACACATTTCTAGTAAAATCCATCTGTTTTTAGCTCCATCTTCAACTGTTCTTCTAGTTCTTCTCGTTCTGTGGTGAGCATGACCTTGTTTCTCACTGGTTTCCTTTCCTGAAGGCATTTAGCTTTCACACCCTCAGCTCTAATTCGACTATGGGTGATCTATCCTTTCAACATCTGCAAAATTTTGTTGACGTCATTCTGCTGAAATCTCTTTTCCCTTTCCCCTGCCCTATTTTAAGTGTGTGTGTGTGTGTGTGTGTGTGTGTGTGTGTATAATTCTGTTATACTGTCATTTTATGGGTTATTATAAGATAGGAATGATAAAGATCTTGTTAACTTAGCAATGTTTAACTACTGAGCTGCCAGGCAGACAGAGCACAGTTTTCAGTGAACGTCACCAGCTTTTGGGAATGACAGAGTAGATGGTGCTGTGGGAAATGTGGCTTGAAGAACATGTATACATACCCCTTCCTGTACTACAACTGAGAGGCTCCTTTTGTTCTCTTAAAATTCCCTGCAGTGGAAAACATTTTCCACTTAACTGAAGGAAACTTTTTTTTTAACTTTTTAGATTTACTTATTTTTGTTATGAGTTACCTCACTTTAAAAAATTTCATAAGAAAAATACAACCATGTATAGATTCTTATATTCCTTGTTCTAAGCTATTTTTTATAACTGTGATTTCATGATACACACAAAAAACTTCCATGCTGTTCCACCATCTTGGCTTCTCTCTGTGATTTCATGACATACAGTGCTTCATAATAATTTTCTCATGTTCACTGTATTATTAGTATCATTTTTAAAGTTTTCAAAATTTATTTTGAGAGAGAGAGAGAGAGAGAGAGAGAGAGAGAGGGAACATGTGCATATGCGAGTGGGGTAAGGGGAGGGAGAGAGAGAATCCCAAGAGGGCTGTATGCTGTCAGTTCAGAGCCCAATGTGGGGCTTGATCCCACGAACCATGAGATCGTGACCTGAGCTGAAATCAAGAATCTGATGTCCAAGTGACTAAGCCACCCAGGCACCCCAGTATCATTTTTACTTACTGTAAAATAAATACTAATAGAAAAGAGTGCATATATACAATTTAAAGACAAGAAAATAAACATTCATGTACCCATTCTGTAGCTTATGAATTAGAACATATTTGTATTATATTATTGGCTAGATAATAAACCCCTTGAGCCTGTATTGTATTGGATACTTAGGTTTGCCAGGTATTTTAAACTTGTGTAATTTATTACTTAATTGACTGCTTTGTTTAAAATGTATTATTTAATTTCACCCTCATAAAAGTGATGTGAGATAGGTACTAGCTAACATTATCCCATTTTACTTATTAGGAAATGGAGGCTTAAAGAGGCTAAGAAATTGGAGCAGTTAATAAGTGGAAGGTATGTGGAAAAATATAGATATACGTATACACACAAAAATACACAGATACATCCAAGAGGCAAAAGGCAAAACTAAAACTCTTTTTTTTTTATTTTTGAGAGTGCGAGTGGTAGAGGGAGAGAGAATCTTAAGCAGCTTCCACACCCAGCGTGGAACCTGACATGGGGCTTGATCTCACGACCCTGAGATTATGCCCTGAACATAAATCAAGAGTCAGATGCTCAACTGACTGAGCCACCCAGGTGCTCCTAAAAACCAGTTATTGAAGATAGAGAATTTAATATAAGGAACTATTACCTAGGTATAAAAAGAAAAATCTAAGTTGTAAGCAATAGCTACCACCTCTAGAACTGAAAAAAATAATGGAAAGATATTAGAATTATTACAGCCCAGAGACTTAAAGAAAGGTCTTGGTGGTCCCAACAACCAGATCTATGAGGAAGAGGCATTGCTCAGCTGGTTTCAGTATCTCTGACCATAAAGGAGGGGTCCCCTT